TGGGCACAGAGGGACCAAATCCCTGCTCTGTGGGTGATGTGTCCCAGCCCTGCCTGGCAGCTGCTGAGGCTTCCCCTGAGGCCGGGCAAATGCCAGCAGTGTCTGCTCCAGCACTTGTGACTTGTCAGCCTGGGCCAGGTGATGGCTGGTCCTGGCAGGCTGGAGGTCTCACTATCCAAACTCCAATGCTTGTTTGGAGGCTGTGAAAAATGCCAATCACTTAAAAAAAAAAAATAAATGTTTAATCATAATAGAATGGTTATAACAATGGTAATATAAATTTTGGACAATTGAGATTAGGACAATATGAGACAATAAAAAAAAAGAGTTTCAGACATCTGGGTACCTTTTTCTGGACAACAGAAGCCCAAAAAAGGACAGCCATTAGCAGAGAATTAACCCTTAAAAACAATAGCCTCTTGCATATTCATACACCTCACACATGGTGCATAAATTCCATTCAAACACAGGATTCTGTCAGGTCATGTCAACTTCTTCCTCTGAATCCTAACAATGCCTTCATGGCGGGAAGAAGTTAGTTTCTCCTGACAAAAGAGCAATAAATTCTCTTTCTTTGAAAGATTCAGGGGTCCTGTGGCTGCTATCTCAGTGAGAGTCCTTCCTTTTTTAAAAAAAGCATCTTACATAGCATAGTTTCTATTTTAACATGATGTTATCACCTAAAACGATATTTAACACACTACTTAAGTAAGTTAATACAGCATAACTTTCTAACATAACACATATAATATTAATTTTCATATTTGTGAAAAGCCAATCAAAAAATACACATTTTTCACAAGGCCATTGAGCAGGATTTGTGTGTCCACATGGCAGGGGAAAAGCAATCCAGGCCCCTGCTCTGGTTGGGTGTTGAATGTCCTGTGCCAAACGCCAACGCTCTGTTACTGTCAGGTGTGGGGTGTCCCTGCCAAGAAAGCTGCAGCCAGGCCCTGTCCCTGCTTTGCTTCCTCTGCTGCAGAGGTGTCCAAGGAAGGCCAGGTTGGACGGTGCCTGGAGCAAGCTGGGACAGTGCAAGGAGTCCCTGTCTTGGAATGGGGCAGCCACTGCTTCTCTGGGAATTCCATCCCAGCCCCTGACAACTCACCCAGGGAAGAATTCCTTCACCATATCTCATCTATCCCTGCCCTCTGGCTGTGGGAAGCCATTCCCCCTTGTCCTGCCCCTCCAGACCTTTCTTCAAACACCCTCTCCTCCTTTTCTTACATGTATATGCATCCCACTCTCACAGTTTACACTGTTATTGCCAGCAGTCAGCACAGGAGTTAAGGATCAGAGGTCTGCAAGAAAGGATTGTTGACTGTGAGCCAACTCAAACCACACAGCGGGTGGA